GAGGGGAATAAGAAGAGGGGAGGGGGGAAAAAGAGGGTGGGAATAAGAAGAGGGTAGGGAGGGGAATAAGAAGAGGGGAGGGGGGGGAATAAGAAGAAGGGGCAGCTCTATAGGACAAGGGCCAAGACAGGGAGCTCTTTCACACTACGCGCGCACACACACACAATGCATCCCCTATACATACACAGAAGCACAACATGCTTCCCTTACACACAGAGAAACACACAATGCATCCATTACACACACACACACACAATGCAACCCTTACACACAAAGACAATGCATCCTTTGCACACATACACAGAAACAGACAATGCAAACCCGTACACACGCATGCAAACACACACACGCATGCAAACACACACACTTCTTTTCTTACATACACACAGAAACACAATGCATCTCATGCACACACATACAGACACACACCTTGCATCCCTTATGCATACAAACACAGATTCACACATTCAGAAACACATAATACATCCTTTATACACAAATACACACTGCTTCCACTACACACAAACACACTGCATCACCTGCACAAACTGGTAACCCTAAACACTACATACCATAAGCACACATATTAGATCCTCTACAATAACACATAACATATCCCCTACACACTCCACTCCCTGTGAGCGAACTCATGGGTGGTGGAACTTATGAGTGGGCCTTATGGGCATACTCACTGTCAGGCCCTGGGGCCCAGACCTTGAGCTGTAAGGGGCCCCAAAAAAATTGAGATGCTTCCAATTCTCCCAGAACATTGAATTTTGTGACCACAGTTGCAAACCGCCTCCAGAGATCCTGTTCTACACCAGACCAGTGGAGCCAAACTGCAGCCCATCATCATCCTCATCTGCTTGTAATTAGGCAATCTAGTATAGTATTAGTGACACTAATCTATAATTTACCTCACATTAAAGGGACACTATAGCTTAATGAAGTGGTTCTGGTGTCTATAGCTGGTCCCTGCAGGCTTTTTAATGTAAACACACACTGTGTGCAGCACTGGCGTTAGTTCATATGGCAGGTCATATGGGTGGGGCATTGTGATGTGACATGTGGGGGCAGCAAATTTTATTTTGTCTAGGGCGGCAAAAATCCTTGCACCGGCTCTGATCCTGGGCAGGTGCACCAGTCTACTTGACTGGTTTTGCCCCCCAGGCCTAAGGCTGCCAGCCCTCCCCTGGCCGCTGGGGAGGTCTTTTGGCGGCCGCTGGTGGACTTGTCCTGGCGGCCGCTGAGGAGCTGCGCGAGCTGCGCTGGCTCTGCTCCCCAGCAGCAGCTGAATGAGACCGGCGCCGGAATATGACGTCATATTCCGGCGCCAGTCTCATTCAGCAGCGCGCGAGGGCGGGAGGGCACTAACACAGGAAGCACCTCTAGTGACCGTCTGAGTGACTGTCACTAGCAATGTCACTTTGAAGCAATGTAAACACTGCCTTTTCTCTGAAAAGTCAGTGTTTACGTTGAAAAGCCTGTAGCGACATGCTATAGACACCAGTACCACCACATTAAGCTGTGTGTGCGTCTGCTAGTGAGTGAGCTTGTGTTTTTATGTCAATGAGCTGATGTATATCAGTAAGATTGTTTGTCTATGAGGCTGTGTATCAATGAGCTTGTGTGTGTCACTGAAATGTCAGTGAAATTGCCTGTGTCTGCAAGGACCAATATTTTATATTAGAAAAAGCAATATATATATATAACTCAATCATCTGTCCTGGCAAGACATAGCCTTACATATTACACACAACAATATATGGCGCAGTGACTTATGGGGCTGGCACAATTTTTTTTTCCAGGGCTGCTTTGTATCCCCAGTCCGGCCCTGATTGAGCTACACTGAGAATAAACCCCTAATGAAAAAAAAGCATAATTATGGGAAGTAGAGTGTCCCTTTAAATCTTTCACAGCCATAAGTTTTTTACCTCCGTGGCGTGTGGTTCAGCAAAGTATGTAGTGCCTCCACAGGAGAGCGGAAGCCATAGATCAGACATCTGGATAGTCATGTCGTTCAGGGGCTGGTAACTGACCACCACCTCATTAGGCCCCAAATTTAGCATCTCACAGACTGAATGAGACATCCAAGTCACCTACAGCAGAGGGAAAGGGGTGTGTTACACATACCAGTAGAAAATATGGGACTGCTTTAAAATTGATGAAATGTACCATCTAACCATAGTCACTATCTGCGGTTCCCTTTAAAATGGCCTCTTACCCAATGGGCCCAGGCTGCCATTACTGTAATGGTTTGGACAGCATTAATTCACAGTAGATGTAGCATGGTTTAGGCACTCATTGACTAATGTCCAGAGTGACCTCTAGGAGGCAGCACAGTACACACAAACCATTCAAATCCACAACATTGAGAATTACACAATTTCAGCCACACCTAGGAAACAATCAATATGACTCTTAACAATATGACTCGAAACAAGGTGGCCATCATCTGATATTCTCTTTAACGTCACTAGTGAATTGCTAGCCTGCGTCCTATGGAAGTACTACCCATATGACGAGCAGTTCACTCCTGATTGAAGGTCTGCCATATTGCCTCCCACGACTCCAGAGAATGTCTCAGTGAGCAAGAACAGCTTAAGGACGTGAAACCAATTCCAGGAGAACTCCAACACAAACTATGAAGAGTGCCATGGAGCCCATGTGGAATTGGTACATATAGCGTGAACTCCCTTGTATGGCCCTCAGACCCTCTCTAAGGCCCCCTGTGATAAACCAAGAAAAGCACACAGAAGCACCCCATGTTTCTAGTGATGTCACCCCTCACATTGTCGTGACTTAGCATGACCCCTCTCGTGTCAGTTGTGACCCAAGTGGCATACATCACAGCACAGCACTGGTTGGCCTTTTGGGATTTTAGGACGGTATCCAGACTGGTTCCGCTGACATCTTTGCCCAGAGTCATGAGGTGATCCCACTGTAAAAAAAACAAAAAACAAAACAAAAAAAAACAATGAATACCGATTTAGAGAAAACGTATAGACAGGGTACTACAGTATTTAGCAAGATGGCGGATAACTAGTTGGCTTCAAATGGTCTGGGGAACATAGACAGGGGAGAGGTGAAGAATAACAGACTGATGGAAAGGAGAAGTGAACGTACCGTATACAAATGAACCTTATTGGCTTCTTTGATTTTGAGGTTTCTCTCCCATTGTACAATTGCCTTCACTTGTGGTAATTTCTCTTGCACCTAAGGGTAAAAAACAGTGGAAAAGAGTCACCTGCCAAACACCAAATCAGTCCCCACAACCAGTCTAAAGGGGCCTATCTGGAAAGTGAGGGCCAAACGTTTGTGCTTTCTCTGACCTGCAGGACCTTCTCAAGCTGTCCATGATCCTGAACAATCACCACCTGAACCCCTGCGCTCAGTGCCACCTCCTGGCAGAAAGAAGCAGGGCAGGATGGATTGACACCAATGGCCAAACCCCTGCAGAACAAAAAAATGTGAGCAACAGTGACATGAAATCAT